TGTAATATATGAGTGTATCACTTAATTCAAAATGTGTTAAATTAAAACATATCCTTCTCATATCAGACATGTTTTATAAAAGATAGAAAAATAAGAATTCTTTTCGTTACTAACAACTGGAGACCTCCACTTTTGTTGTCATTGATGAACTCAACTCTTATATGACACAGCCAAATTTAGGCTGCGATTTAATATTTTTGGATAAGGTTTGCTAATAAGCCAATATTTCTAATCAAACGTTTTAACCCCTTAAGGACTGAGCCAAATGTACATGTTGTGATAAAAAATAAAACGTAAACAAAACTTGGAATTTGACTATATGTCTGTTCAACCGCAGACTTATTATATATCATTTTATTCAGGAGAAATAGGGCTTTCATTTAACATCAAATATTTATGTAAAAACATAATTTAATATGAATAAAATATAAAAAATTTGAGAAATTAAGAAATGTTTTATTTGTTTTAGTTCTACATGACATTTTAACTGTGAATGTCATAATACTGTTTGCTTCTACTGCAATAACATACACATATTTGTATTCAGAGATGTCCAACATGTAAAACAGTACCCCCTATATACAGGTTTTATGGTGTTTTGGGAAGTTACATGGTTAAATATAGCATGTTAAATATTTTTATTTTTTCACATTGAAATTCGCCAGATCGGTTACGTTGCCTTTGATACAGTGTGGTAGCCCAGGAATGAGAATTACCCCCATGATGGCATACGATTTGCAATAGTGGATAACCAAATGTATTGCAAATGGGGCATGTCCAGTCTTTTTTAGTAGCAACTTAATCACAAACACTGGCCAAACCTGGTGTTCAAATACGTTTTTGGCATTTTTCACACACAAACAAATATTAACGCTAACTTTGGCCAGTGTTTGTGACTAAGTGGCTACTACAAAAGACTGGACATACCCCATTTACAATACCTTGGGTTGTCTGCTATTGCAAATGGTATGCCATCATGGGGGTAATTCTCATTCTACCACAACCTTCTTCTTTGATTACGTCATCATGGGTCAATTCAATTCTACTCATAGACAAGTATTGGGGAACGTAGGTGGATACACAGCACACTCTGCAATGCACCAACAATTCCTCCATAGAAACTCATTGTTTTCAATGATTCTCTATGACCTTGACGGCACTGCACATGCATGTGTGACATCACGGTAACTTACGGTATGAGAGCCAGGAAAACCGCACTTTCAAGCCTTCTATTTGATGTAATAAAGGGTTTTGGAGGATAGGACAGTGTGTCCAGCACTGCAGGTACTATAACAACTTCAATACGATGAAGTTGCAAAAGTGCCTGCAGTGTTCCTTTAAAGTGAACTTAAGTAATTCATTTCTAGTTTCTACAATTACAAAATAACATTTCCACCTTCTTACACACGTGACTTTCCTTTTTTCTTCGCCAGCTGACTATTCTTTTTTGTATGAATCCAAATCACTCATTATTATATAAAACTTTTAAAATTAAATTTAGCTTGTAAAAGCGACCTGCTCTTTCCCGATTTCCTATCAGTTCCTGGTTTAGTGAATCACTTTGTTTCTATTTGATTTTCAAATAAAATATATATTAAAAAAAACAATTAGAAAACTGGAAATTAAAATAATTGTCATAAAAAATAAATACCTGATATAGTTAGTTTCCTAAGCACAGTGAACATATAGCTCTATTTTAGGTGATAGTTGATTTGCTAGCCTTTGTTGAAGTTAATTTTTGGGAAATTGTTTATGATTTGAAGAGATTAATCTAATCTTTGAGTGTCTCATTTTACGCTACTACAATTCCTGACATTCCATTTAAATTATAGTCTCCTTGAAAAATGTTTCTAATTTGTTTAAACAAATTCACGTACAGGTAATGAATACACTGCCAGGGTTTAACCCCTTAAGGACACAATATTCCGTCATGATTCCCTTTTATTCCAGAAGTTGTGTCCTTAAGGGGTTAATTTGAATGAGTTATTTTTGCAATTTGTTTCTTGTTTACTTTATAACGAGGTAGTCTTTGTAATAACACCTGGCTTGACTGTACAGAGGCCTCAATTTAATATTATTGTGTAAGCTTTTCAAATTATCACAATCCGTTAGAGAAACTTTTCTAATGATTTATCTACAAAAATTCCCACAAACTTTAATGGTGACTTCTGCAGACAAATTGTTTATTTTTTTAATATTTTTTTTTATTGATTGTTATCTTTTGAAAAATAATAAATAAATAAATTGAAGCCATGGGCAGTAACAGTGATATGACAACTGATGTGCAAAAATTGTCTTCAGAACCTAGACGAGACGAGTTGCAGATTTTTTTCCACTAAACTTGTTTTAATCTAAATTAATTGACTGGCGAGCTCAACACAACCATTTGTTTAATGAAGAGATTTTTTTTGTCACTATAGTAACATATATTACTAATAATAGGCTAGATAATCTTACAAATAATGTGAGTATAATAATGATTGTAAGAACAAAACAATAAAAAATATAAAAAGAAAAAAGAAATAAAATACGAAGTTGTAATAAGAAATAATTATAACTAGGAAAAATAATCAGATTGAAATTCAAATAATAAAATAATAAAATAAAAACATAATGACAAAGGGTGCTGGTTTACCAATTTATGGAGCTGGTGTCCAGCTAGTCCTAAATGTTTTCAGATTTAGAAAATACATAGGTCTGTAATAACTAATATACAATAATCAAATTATGGGTCAAAGTTCACACCTCACAGTGATCTCTCAAGCAAGGGGATTTGCTTTTTGAAGAAATATGACACTAATATAAAAATAAAAAAGAACGACAATAAAAATATGTTGGCACTTGAGATCTAAGTACCAAGATCACTTCTTAGTTAAAGTGGTATGTTGCATAGAATCTGTCCCTGCAGCCTTGCAATGTAAAACGTTGCCATTTCACAGAATTCTAATCTGTACATTTGGCTGTAAACCCACATCTACTAACTAGAGGCTCTTAAGTTTAGCTTGACAGATGCTCTTAGGAGATGAAACGATGCACCTTGTGTCTCAATAACTGTGCCTGGGATTATATCCAATTTGTGTTTGGTCTTCTTTTGTTTTGTGGATTACCTTGGAGTGGAGCCTATTTGACTGGTGGCACTTCCATTTCCCTCTTATTTGTGTGCCCCTCTGGGCACAGGGTTTAGAGAAAAATCTTATAGGCTGAGTATGGCAATTGGTGTGCATGTCCAGTGGGTCCCCAGTGCTACTGTATGAGAAGGATTGCCTTAAAACCAGAAATCTTGACAGACACTGGAAAAACAGTGAGTTAACAGTGAACTAGATAAACAGTGATTTTTATTTTTTTCATTTTAAAATTAGGAGGAGGGGTGAACTCTGAAAGTTACGAAACATTAATATTCTGACTAAATTTATTTATTACTAACATTAAAGTGTTTATTTATCAAGGATTTTTTGTTTTGTCCAATTAACGAGCAAATCAATTTAATTAATTAATTAATTATATTAAGTATAGTAGCTGATAAACTTAAAAAACTTTGTTAAATTATGATGCTGTTTACTAGCTCCAATCCCCCCAGCACCCACTACAGACCCTTCCTGCATACCCTAGAGTCCAATTACCTTCTACACACATTACAGCCCCTATGCCTGTATTATTATTATTATTGCCATTTATTTAGCGCCAACAGATCCTGTAGCGCTTTACAATATTATGAGAGGGGGGATTTAACTATAAATAGGACAATTACAAAAAACATCTTACGGGAACAATAGGTTGATGAGGACCCTGCTCAATCGAGCTTACATTCTATAGGAGGTGGGGTGTAAAACACATTAGGACAGGAATTTGCAAATATCTTTACCGGCTCATGCGTGCTGGCGGGCTGTTGGGGAACTCAGCAGAGCTAGTGCATAAAGGTAGGACCTGCTCTGTTATCAGCGGAATCATTGCAAACACAATTTGTTTGCACTAAACTAATTTCATTTGCTATGTTTGTAAGCTTATGTTCATGATTGTGGGGGTTGGGTGCTCACTTTGGATGGGTGCTTACTTAATTTCACCTTGTGCAGGTCACATTAAAATAATGGATCATAAATCACGTAACATAACTATTAGTCATTCGTGCCTCCAATTCATTTTGATTTCCCCAAGAGAGAATTTACAAGAACATTATTTTGCTCATTCTACCATACTGCTCTCATCAAAAGAGAGAAAATAAGGATCTGAAAAGCCGAGCTGATTAAAATCAGTTGTTTATACAGAGCACAGATAGATTTCACAAATGAGGTACACACAGAGAGCATTACAGCCTGCATTTACAAGAGTCTTTGTTTGTCTTTCTGTATGTAAATACTTAACAATTTACTCTGACAATATATGTAAATAATCACATCCATATGTTTCTTGCAATTTATCCTGTTTTGACCATTACAGGAGAGGATGGTCTTCAAAACATCACTCAAAACACATAAACTACTTCAGCTTGCTATGTGTGAAGAATATATCCTTATTCCATTACTGATCCCAATTGAAAACAATACTTATAAATTAACCTTGTTGCCACACCTCCTTCTCTGCCCTGGCTTTCAGTCAGACAGCCAGTCCTGTACTTCCTGGTAGTTAGCTCAGAGAAGCCTTAATTAATACAGCTCACTAAGAACACTGTGATTGGACAGACATAGAATGGATGTGTTGGGGCAAAAGGGCTTGCAGTAGCTGCACATACTACATCTTTTTACTATTAAAGGAAAGACTGTTGGTTAGAATGATTTAGGTCATTCAAATATATATATATATATATATATATATATATATATATATATATAAAAAAATCGAAATGTCCCCTGCACTCACGCTTGCAACATGGTCCAATACCGGGCGCACCACCAGAGCTCCAAAGTATGTAGAAGACAACAAGTAGAAAGGCTGCTCTCCGGATTTAAAACAAAAAATTTATTTAAACATATTTAAAAACCACGACCAACGTTTCGGTCCCCGCTCGGGACCTTCCTCAGGGTCAAAAAATAGAACAACAGAACAAATTGTTCTGTTGTTCTATTTTTTGACCCTGAGGAAGGTCCCGAGCGGGGACCGAAACGTTGGTCGTGGTTTTTAAATATGTTTAAATAAATTTTTTGTTTTAAATCCGGAGAGCAGCCTTTCTACTTGTTGTCTTCTATATATATATATATATATACACACCAAATATTTAAAAGCATAGGCTGCTCTCACAGACTTTATGCACAAAAATTGATAAATGCAGTTATATATTTGGTTTATTTAAATGTTGTGTCACTTGATCCTGAGGAAGGTCCCTGCGTGAAATGACCGAAATGTCGATCTTTTTGCTTGATGGAATAAAGAATTTTCGTGCATAAAGCCCGTGAGTGCAGCCTATGCTTTTACATATTTGGTGTATATCAACATCCCCATAAAGGACTGGCACCCAGCAAGTAAATTATTGCTTTAATGCATATTGATTTTGAGCGTGAGTGCAAGGAAATATTGTTTGTGTATATATATATATATATATATATATATATATATATTCTAAAGGCATATATAACAAACCACTTGGCACCCTGACTGGGTACCTCCGCCAAACACGCTCCCTAGCTATTGCTGGGACACCATCATCACTTCAGACCCTAGTCTCCACAGCTTGGCTGGGGTCTCACCATTGCTTCTCACCCTGGAACAGGGTCCTGGATCCAGCTTCTAGTGATTAAAGCTCTTCTGCAGAGAGTATAGCTTTATAGCTGGTACACCCAAACACTAGTCGAGACTGAGTGAAGGGTTTAAAGGAACGTGTTTATTATGGTCAAGTTTCCTGCTTATATACACAACCCCCAGCAGGGGGTCTCCAAACAATTCAATGCTAGCCCCTCCCAAAGATCTCTGTGCCTGGGAGATAATCGCGTTAAAGACCGGTAAATAAATTATTTCCCAGGTATAGAGAGGCAAACATAAACATATAAAACATAAAAATACCCCAAAACATCATAAAACATAAAATAACCCTACAAATAATACATCATTAAATAGCCCTGATCTGAGCACCCAAGTTCTCCAAATAGTGCTCAGATCCATGGAGTACAGAGGAAATGCCACTGTGTTAAAGTTCTGCCCGGCCGCACACGTTGTTCTATGCCCAAAACAGTTCCAGGGCATTTGATGCTTTGGCCGAGCCCCTGTGACCGCAATAATGGGTGCTCTGGCTGGCTCTTTGCTTCCCTTAGTCTTAGGCACCTTCCCTCCAAAAAGCGCTCTACTGGCGGATTTCAGAGTGGTTTAAAACTGCTAACCAAGTTAGTACAGGAACCGCACGATCACCTCATGCCGAAAACAGTTCCATAACATTCGCGGCAAAGTACCGCTGAGGTCAGTTTGTGGGTTTGGGTCATGTGAACGACCAGCAGAGAGCCAGCTTTCGGTCCATTCGCATAAAGTGAAAGTGCCGAACCAGGAGCACCCAGGGAAAGCTGCTAATGGCAACTGGAGAAATTTAACTTCTGAACAAGGTCTTTGTAAGTAGCGCATAGTCCTTGGGCAGGAGGCTAGCTTGCAGGCTTCTCCAGGAGCTAGCAGCATAGGCATGTTTGCCACAGCATACATGAGTAGACCATCCAGTAACCCCCAAACAACAACCTATTGATGGAATAAATTCAGAGCACTTTCTGATATCGTACATCACCAGTTTGAATCTCATACATATTCAGAATTAAGGCTGCCACATATATATAGTGTTTTACAGTACCTACGTTCAACATAATTTTCAATAGAAACATGGTCAGATCAATCAGTGTGGCTTATTGTTCATGATGTCATTAAATCACTGGTCTTTATGTACTCATATTAAGGCACACCAAACTAATGAAATAGGTCCTCCAAAAATAATACCTCTTTATCCCACAGATAGCAACTGGTACCCAGTAAAACACTGTATTACTACTGCCACAATTTAACTGGTCAACCAGGTAATATGCCACTTCTGTCATTACATGTTAAACATCTCACATCAGCTAAATTAATATTTTTATCAGAACACTATTCAGGAGACTTGGATCACACCCGTTTACATTTTGAGGTTTTTATTTAGAATTGGAGCTGTATCAGCTGTTTATAGCAGAGCTATTCCATTGCATATAATCTAAAGACTAGGACGCGTGAAATTCTCTGTTAACAATAGATATCCCTTAAGAAGAAAGTTCCAGAGAAAGTTAAGGAAAGCATTTAAGAGTTTAGCTTTGCCAATGTATTATGTAATAAGTGTGCATTTTGGAATTATTTTTGGCAACTTTATTTACAGACATACCCGTACATTGGTTTCGGCATAACACAACTGATTTTCTTCTATACCACGACTTTTTTGTTTCCAACCACAAATATTAAGGCCTATAGGCCTGAGTTGGTGGTGGGGTTACCCAGCCTATGTAAACTCAGGAAACCTCCTTACTTGGGCTATTGATGTTCGTTGTGTATGTATACAGGGGGGATATGATAGAAACATTTAAATATATAAAGGGAATCAACACAGTAAAGGAGGAGACTATATTTAAAAGAAGAAAAACTACCACAACAAGAGGACATAGTCTTAAATTAGAGGGACAAAGGTTTAAAAATAATATCAGGAAGTATTACTTTACTGAGAGGGTAGTGGATGCATGGAATAGCCTTCCAGCTGAAGTGGTAGAGGTTAACACAGTAAAGGAGTTTAAGCATGCGTGGGATAGGCATAAGGCTATCCTAACTATAAGATAAGGCTAGGGACTAATGAAAGTATTTAGAAAATTGGGCAGACTAGATGGGCCGAATGGTTCTTATCTGCCGTCACATTCTATGTTTCTATGTTTCTATACACACATCTGCAACTTAGCAAAAGAGGACTATGGAAAATTGAGAGGGGGCTCTATGTACTCGTGCTAACAGACAAATCCCCTCTACATTGCCACATCTTTTTGAATTTTTGGTTAAATATAAAATACACATTTCTGTTTATTTGTTTTTCTGCTATTGTTTTATTTATATATGTATATAGTACAAGGCAGTGTTCCTCAATCCTCTCCACAAGGCACACCTAACAGTCCAGAATTTATAAATTACCCAGGTGTGTCTAAGGTATTTAGAAAAAGAAAAGAAAAACCTTTAGAGATTTTTTATGAAACACTTTAGTAGGGATTTGCATGGGCAATTTGGATCCTATCCCCTAAAACCTAACCCATAACCTTAACCCCTAAATCCTAACCCTAACCTTAACCCCTAGCCCTAAACCCTAACACTATACCCTAACCCTAAACCAACCCCTAAATACTAACTTTAAGCCCTAACCCCTATCCCTAACCCTAACCCACTTTGGAACTTCGGCAATTCTGAACTTTGGCAATTCAGGACTTTGGCAATTCGGTTTGGCAATTCGGCAATTTGAACTTTGGACATTCGTTAACATCCGAATGTCCGAATTGCATGAAATTAGTCCAAATGTACATTTGGAATGAAATGAATTGCACATGTCTACACCTTAGACACACCTGGGTAATCCCTAAATCCTGGACTGTTAGGTGTACCTTGAGGAGAGGATTGAGGAACACTGGTATAAGGTGTTTAGAAAATGTAATTTGTTCAGATGAAACAATAATAGGCATTGCTTACTACAATTAACATACATTCAAGCAATTGAAAACCATATATTTTTCATTTCTTATGCTTCTGGATTGCTATATGAGTTAGAATGCTTACTAAGTCCTCTATGGATATTTAGATGACATATTAATAAAGACATAATGCTTCAGCAATACTATGCAATATACAATGCTTGTTTAAAGGGGGTGATAGTGATTCATGGATATAGTAACCTAGCAGAATTTTTTTTTTTTTCACTAAGCAAATCCTTTTCCCCAACAAACAAGTAATACAAAAATGCTGATCTTGTAGAAAATGTTCCAGTTTCGTAGACAAGACACATAAGATGACTATAAGATATAGGAAATGTGTCTATCCACATTCAAATGAACTCTAACAGGGTTATTTACTAAAATGAGAATTCCAGGGAAAATAAAAAATTATTTCAAATGTAAGGCCAAAGTAGTTGAACTTTGACCATAGATTTTAAATTTACTTTGAATTCCCACTTTATTAAATAACCCTATTAATTGAATATTATATTAAACTGTATATTATCTATTACACTAATATATTTTTTATCTGGCTTGTCTTATACCAATGATCAAACTCAAATATGAATCATGGGTGAAAAGTACATTTCTCTAATACAGAAGAAAAACAGTTTAAAGTATAAAATGGGCATAAAAACAGATTTACTCAGTAGATGTCGGAAGCAACTTCTTCCTACAAGTTCATTTTTTTTTATTTAAATAATCTCACTAATGTAATAGCACACTTTGCTCATAAAGACCTTCAAGAAATATATTTCTCTTCCCATTTATACAATAATTGCTGTGCAAATGCATCATGCTCCTTTAAGTCCTTTTTCATTCTTTTGAAAATCCAGTTATGATTACTTAATGCATCTTCATATCTCTTGTATTCCCTGGCCAATAATTGTAGACATTGACAGAGTTCCATCTGTGTTTACATAGTCATGTCCAATGGTACCTTTGACATCTTTCCTGATGCCGATATGAATACTATGGAAGCACAAAATAATTATCTAAGGCAAGCATAAGCAAATACTGATTTCAAATACTGATTTAAACAAACATATGTCAGTCAAAATCTTAGCAAACATCAAACAGTGATTTATGTCACGAGCCTTGTACTAACAATTGGAGGACCATTTATGCAAGTCTGATATACGATAAGATTTTGGCTAGAGAAACATCTGCAAAAGTGCTGGTCTTCTAATCAGTGGCCTTTCAGAAGCATGGTTATATAATTAAATGGATGATGAGTCATAAGTCTTAAGTAAGATTTTTTACTTTCACTATACCTTCATGATATATTATATGATTGGCAAGTAATTAATTACTTAGAGGTAATTTCACAGCTACAGGGTATATTATTTTTTTTGTTTTTCTTTCAAATTGAAGATTACATTTTCCCTTCTGTCAAGTCTAATATGATATA